AGCGCACTTCCTCCAACACAGGTGAGGACGACACTACATCGCGTGTGTGCTGGTACCATCGTACCTTCGGAAACGCTGCCCGCAACTGCACCCCACCTTGCTCTAGGGCGGGAAACTAGATGACCGGGCACTGGCGGCGGCAAGCGGCACCGGTCAACAGGAAAGCCTCCTTTTTTACATCGTAGACAGGGTAGCTGGCCATCGCTTCCTTATCGACACTGGAGCCAAGGTCAGCGTACTACTGGCCTCTTCTTTGGACCGACAACGCAAGCAAAGGACCTCCCCGCTCCAGGCGATCTACAACTCGCCTATTGCCACCTACGGTCAGCGGTCCGTCACACTCAACATCGGACTGCGCCGCACATTTCGGTGGCTATATCATTGTCGCCGATATCAAGCAAGCTATCCTGGGCGCTGACTTTCTCAGCTTTTACAACCTTTCCGTAGACATTCATCGTTGACTTGACCACACACCTCTCTGTGAATGGCGTGCTCTCAACCACCACGACGACAGCCATTCGCGCGTTTTCGCCGTCGTCAGACTACGAGAAAATTCTTGCGAATTTCCCAAACATCACGAGACCGCACACAAGAGAGTCGCCGGTGAAACACACCATCACTCACCAAATCGCTACCTCTGGCCCTCCCGTTTTTGCTCGTCCTCGTCGACTGTCTGGAGAACGCCTGGCCATCACTCGTCGCGAGTTCGAGCACATGCTCGAACTTGGAATCGTTCGTCCATCGTCGAGTAGCTGGGCATCACCTCTTCACATGGTCGCCAAGAAAGATGCAGGCGACTGGAGACCATGTGGTGATTATCGCGCCTTGAACGCCAATACTCAACCTGACAGATACCCACTGCCTCACATACAAGACTTCACCGGGAATCTGACTGGATGCCAGATCTTCTCCAAGATCGACTTGGTGAAGGCATACCACCAGATTCCGGTGGAGCCTGCTGACATCCCAAAGACCGCCATCCTTACACCTTTTGGCCTCTTTGAATATGTGAGAATGCCATTTGGCTTGCGGAATGCCGCCCAGACTTTTCAACGCACCATCAACGAGGTGACGCGCGGCCTAGATTTCGTATTCGCTTACCTAGACGATATTTTGGTCGCCAGCGCATCAAAGACAGAACATGAGGAACATCTGAGCGCCCTTTTCACCCGGCTTGACGACTACGGTTTGGTCATCAACCCCAACAAATGTCTTTTCGGCGTAGCCAACATCGAATTCCTGGGCCACCTCGTCACCCCACAAGGCATCAAGCCCTTAGAAACCAAAGTCACCGCCATTCGTGACTTTCCTCAACCAACATCTTTAAAAAAGTTGCGTGAATTCTTGGGCCTAGTAAACTTCCATCGTCGGTTCCTGTCGAAGTGTGCTGAGTTACTAAAACCTCTAACTGACCTGCTCGCCACCAAAAAGGAAGCCTCGGCGTCTCTGAATTGGAGCGAAAGTGCAGCGTCTGCCATTTCGTTAGCGAAACAGGCACTTGTTGACGCCGCAATGCTCACCCATCCTGCCGCAGACGCGCCACTCCGACTCCTCACAGACGCATCAAGCGTAGCTGTCGGTGCGGTTCTTCAACAGAACGTTTCTGGATGGCAGCCGCTCGGATTTTTTTCACACAAGCTCAAAGACGCTGAACAGAGGTATAGTACCTTTGCACGGGAACTTCTAGCAGTGTATCTATCCATCAAACACTTTCGCCACTTCATCGAGGGCCGGGACTTCTACGTTCTGACCGATCATAAGCCCCTGACATTTGTGTTCCATCGAAACCACACCGACTACACCGCGCGTGAGATCCGGCACCTCTGCTTTATCTCAGAGTTTACCGTCGATCTCCGACATGTCAGCGGCCAGGAAAACACTGCTGCTGACGCACTCTCTCGCGTAGCAAACATTACTTCAGTTCAACATCCAGTGGATTTTGAAGAGCTAGCAGCCGCTCAAGACGAGGACCCCGAGCTACGACGCCTTCGTGACTCTTCTGCATCTCTCAAGTTCACTAACATTCCCCTACCTCTCTCTCCAACAACCGTCACTTGCGAGACGTCAACCGGCGTTTCACGCCCGTTTGTACCACCAACGTTTCGTCGGAGTCTGTTCGACCACTTGCACAGCAAAAGCCACCCGGGAATCCGAGCTTCACAAAAATTGATCACTGCTCGCTTCTTTTGGCCGAACATGAATGCGGATGTCCGCCGCTGGTCTCGAAATCGCCTTAAATGCCAGCGCGTCAAGATCATCCGACACACCGTCACCCCGATCTCACCATATCGCCTACCAGACTCGAGGTTCGCTCATGTCCACCTCGACTTGGTTGGACCTCTTCCTTCATCCCGAGGTGCCTGTTATCCGCTGACTTGCGTGGACCGGTTTACTCGGTGGCCCGAGGCAATCCCTGGCCCCGACATGACAGCAGAGACAGTCGCGAAAGCCTTCCTCGACGGCTGGGTGTCCCGTTTCGGCTGTCCTACAGTCGTAACTACCGACAGAGGACGACAGTTCCAGTCCGCCCTTTTCGCGGCTTTTGTCTCCATCCTGGGAGTCCGACACATTCACACCACCGCCTATCATCCATCAGCTAATGGCATGGTGGAACGACTCCACAGGCAGTTGAAGGCAGCCCTCGCCACCTACGAGCCGCGCGAACGTTGGGCCGACCATCTCCCCCTCGTCCTCCTGGGCCTTCGCTCGGCGCTCAAGGCCGACCTCGGCTGTACGACAGCTGAGCTTGTATATGGTTCCCCATTGCGCCTCCCTGGAGACTTTTTCTCTCCAACCTCTCCCGACTCTCAGCACGAACCAAGCAGCTATGTCGCAGACCTTCGACAAACCATTCGTGAGCTGCAACCAGTTCTTCCCGCTCAGAGGAGTCCTCAACACATTTTCACGAGCCAAGACCTTGAGTCGTGCACCCACGTCTTCTTACGGCGCGATCGTACTCGTCGACCTCTTACACGAGCTTACGATGGACCTTTCAGAGTGCTCGATCGCCAGGTCAAGACCTACACTCTCGACATCAACGGTCATCATGACGTTGTGGCTACAGACCGCTTTAAACCGGCCTACCTGGACACTGCCCTGCCTACGCCCGCCTCTGCCATCACCACCCCATCGCCACCTTCGGCGTCTGCACCTAGACCCCAGCGCGTCACTTGGGTTCCTCCGGCACCCATCGCTCTACAGGGGGGAGCCCTATAGCGACCCTCACGGTCAGCACAAGGCGGTCTACAAAAGAAAATGAAGAAGAGGCGGGGCTCGCGCGTCGCGGGCACATAAAAAGCAGTTCGAATCCTACCGCTGTCTCTACTGGTTGCTCTCAATCCAGCTCCTACAACCGATATTGTTTTATTTAAAAATGCTACAACTAATATGCGCACTTTGTATGTAATATTTTTAACTCTCTCCCCTCTGCGGTGCACATATAGCTTGAGGAAATCTGAAAAAAATAACAAATTAATTTATTTTGGCTTAAAATTATGCAAATAATTTTTAACTGCATGATGGTGTGCATTTGTTTTTCAGTATGTTACCTGCCATTAAATACAGCTCTGTAGATGAATCAATAATTCCATTCTTTGTTGTATTAAGTACACCAATCTTAGTACTTACTTTATGTACGGGGTTTCCAACACAAATAAGTTACGGAGAAGGAATTAAGTAATGAGGAGAGACAAGACAATGAAAATAACACACACAAAAGTTTTATTTCAGCCACTGTATTGTATCTGCCAATCTCCGCAGCCGTATTTATCCTTCTTTTTTTATTATATGCATTTTTGTATTTGACACAGGTGCACCCAGCAAACATACGCGTAGGTAAACCTTCAAAAATCAGGAATCAATTTTTTTGTCAAACAAGTTAGAATTCTTGACTAAAAGCGGAAGTCACCTTTGAGTATCTTTTTTTCTTGTCGAACGTTACTTCAGATCCCTCCAATTGACATTCACTCCCACGCGACGCGTTCAGTTGGTTCAATGTTGCTAGGATGGACAGCTGCAAACAGCAAATATTTTACCTCTGACCTGATTCATGCAGTTGGGTGCGCCGCAGGTGGAAAGGAAACTCATGCAGTTAATGCATCAGACAATTTCCCACCGAAATTTTGAAATTTCAGCTTTGAACTGTGAAGTTTATTACAACAAACTTGTGCGTAGGATACCCAACAATAAGCTTCCAATAGGAATCTTGACTGGGTCCGGGGCAACTTCATAATAAATATATATATATATATATATATATATATATATATATATATATATATATATAAATATATATATATATATATATATATATATATATATATATATATATATATATATATATATAAACGAGTATGTGCAGATGAATGAACCGTACTTAATCCAATGAATCAAAGAATCAAAGTTTTTCACGAACCCGCCGAAAGCCAAAAAACGGCGGAGCCTTTTTTTTATTTTTGATTAAAACTTTGATTCTTTGATTCATTGGATTAAAGCGCGAAACACATGTACGACGAAACCTTCCGATCCGACGTGCGGACTGCCGGAATGACCTTGGGGGGGAGAGGGTTTTCGTAGCATCGGAGAGCGTTGAAAACCCTCGCCTCCGACCGTCGTATTGCGCGGGCGGACGTCGGATCGGACGGTTTCGTCGTACATGTGTTTCGCGCTTAAGTACGGTTCATTCATCTGCACATATTCGTTTATATCCTCCTCGGAGACCACGTACGACGGTGTAAAGTGCCCGTGTTGTATATATATATATATACTTATTTTTACTTATATTAAATTAGCGAAGAGTGATTGTTTAGTTACAGAATGAATATCAATGCCAGTGGCCGAAAAGCGAAGATGCGCAGTTTAGGCTGTTTGCGATTCCTTTAAACCTCTCGAGATGAAGAATTTACTTTCTCTACGTGTGCGTGTAATCTTGGTTACTTTTGAAGGTAAGCGAGCAGTGCGTTCTAAATTAGCAAGGTCAAGTTGTACCAGCCAAGGTTCACCTTTAAGTTGATGCGCATCACATCGTCCAAGTGTTCTTCGTCCATGGAAACGAGCGGGCGGAGAACAGCTGGAATAGCAGCACAATTGACCACAATAGTTGCCGGCTGCTGACACGTCTCTTCGATGACCTCAAACAGAGCCTTCACGGATCCTGATGAGCCAACATCGACTTTGATTGCTTGATGCAGAGCGTCACCTGCGGAAGGCACACGATTGAGAAAGAAACGGCCATATCGTACTTGCTTCACCATAAGTGCAGTTAATGCAAGAGCTACAAGTTCGACCATGTTGCCTTGACGAACATTTGGACTGTTCCGAGTTTCTATTAGTCAATACAGTAATAGAGTTGCTATTAGTCAACACAAAATTTCATCAACAACAAAAATATTAATCTTTTTTTTATTTCAAATTCATATTATTTTTTACTCGTCGAAGAACTGAGATTGTTAAATCGTCTCTTTTTGTTTTGTCGCTACCGTTTCACATACTAGCACACAGATCTGCCGAACAACATAATAATATGTATAAAAACGTGTTACACGATTTGTTTAGGGCTCTAAACCGCTTCAGAATATATCATTCCGCTGTACTAAGTGACGGGAAAGCCAGAACCGCAAGACATAAGGTTATAATGCTGGCTTCCATTTGTACTCCAGGCCCTAATAAATAGGTCGGTGCTTCAGCTTCTACTTTTTCGACGCTACCAATTTTCATAATCACATAATTTTTTGTTAAATGATATATTGATAGTAGTAGGGCTCTGGTTCTCAGCAGATATCTTCATCAATGGACATAATTTTCATTATTTGTTTAAGCAGCATTTACTAGGAGATTCGGAGGTAAATGAATGGGACAATGTGGTTTGAAAATTACTAGCACCGGGTGAAATGGTAAAATATAAATTTGTAGCCTAGAGTATTTTGCCGAACAGCGTAAATTCAGTGTTAGAAAGTACTTCAAGTACATTGGACTAAACGTGCTACGTAAATTAGGTTTAGAAAACTTGTACTTTACTTGAAGACCATTCTCTGTGTATGTTCTAGCACTTAACTTAGAGTATTTCTTCTGGTACTTTCCATAGAATTATATCTTTCGACTACAAAGTACATTCCCCAAATTTGGTCTCGGTAAATTTGTATAACAAATGATGCTTGGTCAACTCTCGAGAAATACTGGGAGAGATATTCTGCTCTCGTCAGGAACGTGAGCAGACGATGCATCGCTCTGTTTGTTGTGGGGGAAGCTTTCCCGTAGCTTTTCGAACTCTCGCTATTCCTCGCCTCGTCAGCACAATCGAGGAGGCAAAAAAAATATTAGAAGAGGACAACCAATCATGATGTAACTCCTGAGACTGCGCTGCGGAAAAATTAAGGAACCTTCAAGTCGAAGAAAATGACAACAAAGAACTCTCACTCTTTTGAAATGTTATCCTATGTTGTCTTTCCTTTGACTTGGAAGTTCTTTAATGTTTCCGCACCACAGGTCCAGGTGTCACATTACGTTTAATTATCACCAGCTCGCCTGTAACCTCACTGTTTGTTGTTTTTTTTTCGTCAACTCCTTGCCTACTCATTGTTTTTCTTCAAGGAACGTACAGCAAAAGTTTATTTTAAACAGGAAGTTTGCATTAAAATAAGACAAAAACATTTCCTCGACTTCCAGGTGTCATATCTTGCTCTAAATCAAGTTTTCTGGTCTGAGTCCCACTGACGTGCAAACGCCGAAGTTGATGGAATGCTCGCTGGATTCACCTTGTTTTCATCTCTCCTGTCACCGCGCATCGAACTATCGTCCGATTCCTCAAAACCGAAAAGGCCGTAGGATTCAACGTCACATATTTCTAATCATTAGTCCCTTTCGAAAAGAAGTTTTTGTATCCCTTCTCGGCTAAAGTGGAGCTCCGTGACCAAGGCATGTTGTTTCAGAATCGACGCTAGTCAGTGCTTCTTTTTTCTTGGCTAGATGGAGCGTTCTATTTCTGGCAAACAGCAAAACAAACGAGCAAACTACCCAAAGGAAATGGAGCAACAGGTGTGGTTTTGCCATCTGCCAGAAAGCGCGCTAAACAAGTGCCGAAACCGAAACGCGAGAGGGGTGGCACGAGTGACATTCGTTATTAGTAGGCACGGGGGTAGGAAGCGGACACTCCTCTACGAAAGGATTGCGGGAGCTACGGGGCTGACGTCATGCTTTTTTTTAGTACGTTTAAACCCACTAGGCACAGCAAGCCAGTGCAGGCGGCGCCAAATTAAAGGGCATAATGAAAGATTGTGTTAAAATATACTAGTGCTTCGCTTTAAACGTACTGTTTATTAATATTACTTTACTTTAAGTACATTCCACACAGTGTACTTTTTGCTTTGCTTGAAGTACAGGGAGCTGCTAAGAGAAGAAAACCGCGTTTTTCGACCCAGATAAAAAAACCATGCATCGCAGAAAGCTCAAACTCCGTGCGAATGTGACGGTAGCAGTTGGACAGGACGCGAACGTTTGAGAACATGATGTTACCTGGATCAAAATATATTTGAGAACGACAAAACTTCTCTGAGCGGACGTCCACTTAAGCCTAATATTGTTAAAACAAAAACTCACATTGTGGACGATTGCGGTTTTATATCGGTGAACAACTCTTTTCTGAAAAAAAAGAAAAATGTAATTTCCTTTCTTGTTGACAGGTTTTTGTTTTCACTGAAATAAATGCTACATACGTCCACAACGGCGTTTATTGTTTTCACTGTTTTCGTCCGGTGGATGTCGGCTGATAAATGAATTTCTCTTTTCTCGATCTTTTGATCCACATGACGTCACGTTCCCAATATTTCGCATTCTACCCTATTGCTAGCGTCACATTCTCACTCAGTTTGAGCTTTCTGTAATGCTTAGGTTATTTACCCTGGCGAAAAAAAAACGGATTTTTTTTGCCGTGAACTAACTGTACATCACTTATCAATTATTTGTGCTTTACTTAAACCACTTTTTAGATGTATTTTACCCAACACTGGGCAAATTTTTCTTCAATAGAATTCACTGAACACTAAAATAAATGTGTTCAATTTATATAATTTAAATATCATTTCGCTTTTTGTGTCCCAGGAATGTCTACAGCCAGAGACCAAGCTTCTTTACATTAGTTCTGGAGAGCCATTTATGATCACTGCATCCATAGATACTGAAAATTAAAAGAAAAAGTATGAAACAGTTTGTAAAAGTTTGCTCGTAAGGTTTGAACTTTGAACCCGTCATCAATTTAAGAAACAGACAAAACAATATGAACTCTGAGATACTTAAAAAGAATGTAGAAAACCAGTAAGCATTCAAAACCAAATCTTCGAGATCTCTGTTTAAAACAGCAAAGATGAAGCAAAAATATTATGTTCCTAAAAGGAACAGGAACAGTAACACTTTGGTTGAATACTGCTAGAGGATAATGAATGCTGTAAAAAAAGGCAGGTAATTTTTTGATGGGCAGACGTTTTTTTTTTACTCTATACCCGCTTCCATTCCTTATCACTAGGCAAAACGTAAAATGTTCGTTTTGAAGAAAGTTCTTCTGTGTCTGAAAACGTCAACGCACAAATCTAGGCACCAGAATTTATTTATTTCAAAATTATAATATTTTAATAAATAATATTTAATAATATAATATAAATAATATTTATTTTTAATAAATAATAATATAAATAATTTTTTTTTTCAAAATACAACCAGAATTTATTTATTTCAAAACTCACGTGATATATTTGTTTGATGTGAGGCTGATGACGTTTCTTTTTGTCTGTATGCGGATAGACCCAACCAGTTCTCGAATATATGTTTGTCATTATGCCTTTCTGACACAAATCACTGCACCATTTTTTAATTGCACTTTAGAATCAGAATCAATGTATTTTAGCTTTCTCCCCCATGGATTCCAGAATTTCTATTTCCAAATAATTTTTATTGCGCTTTTTGCCAAATGCTGTAACGTATTCCAGCAACGGGCCTACGTAGACGATTAACAACTCAGCAACACAAACGCGCCACTAGACAATAATGAGCCACGCGCGCGTGCGCAGTATCGCCTGGAGCTGAGCACTTATTGGGCGCCGAAGCCTGTGTGAGCGTTTCACGGAAACTCGGCCCAGCTCGTATCGAGACCGAGTGCAGCATCACCGTTTGGCGTGGACTCGGATCCAATCACACACTTGGTGCTCCGTGGATGAATGTTATTGGCTATACCCTTTGTAACGGGCGGTAGTTTGCGCTACCTAGTGGGTGACGCCAGTGTTGCAACCGTGGCAGCTGCCAGTGTGGAAGGATTATGTCTTAAAAACGGTCTTAAAAAGCAGGGCAGTGTGTTTTGAGTAAAAGCTTACTGGCGTTTTGTCACTTAACTATCTTCTATGGATCATGGCAACTTATTCCCTATCCGTATATGCTGCCGAAATGTGGACACCTGGACTTTGCTCAAGCTCTGCGCAGGTATTCGAGTTTTCTCGAGGGAGGCTTACCTGGAAGACACTGCACCGTCGCTTGCGCCGCTTCGAGGCTTATGTCGGCAACCATGACCCGTGCTCCTTCGCCCGCCAGTGCTTGGCTAACGCACCTGCCGATACCGCCGCCTCCACCGCTGACCAGGACCACTCTGCCAGAAAAGAACGTGCATGTACTCGACATGGCGGCTGGCGTTCGCAGCAGTGACTTTAAAACTGGGAGGCCGGAAAGCCTTTTTTCATTCGCTTTATATTTTGTTTCTTTGCGCTGCAAGCGTCGACACACTAATGAAAACAGGTGCGGAACGAAGGTACGAAAGTAGCATTGCCGTTTGTTATAATATGTGTATATATTATTTTTTTTATTTGTTTTGCATCTGTACACGTTGCAGACGCCGGAGCCACGGACAAAAAGTCAACGCATGGTGACTTGAGGAAGTCCCCGCCCCGTGCACTTTGGCAGACAGCTACGGGGACAGAAAAATAACTGCAGAGATTATAGCAACAGGCAAAAAGTAAAATACATACATAAAAAGCCAGGTTTCACAGGTTTAAAGGAAATTTCTATACAAAAATAAGTACAATGATTTAGGGTTTATATCATAAATGTCCACGTCATCTACATTATATTTGTTGAACAATGAGTGTAGATTATGCTTCAAAGACTGTTAACTGTGGTTTGTACGAAGCGGATATACTTTCCATTCCTCGGAGTAGCGGGTGCTGATGGAGGGCATGTTCTTAATCAATGCTGATGTTTGTTTTAGAAAACGAATACATTCAGGGGAAGAACAACGAAATGACCGAGTCAAAAGGTACTAAAAAATTTATGTATATTTATCATTTTGTATGGTGAAAATAGAACTTCTGTGTAGGCTAAGGAATGAACATTTCCAACAAGGTGCGAAATTTTTTGTAGTAATAATATTTATGTTTCCCTGGGGTTGTTCCGCAAACGAGATTACAATAAGATATTTGCGATTTCAATGACGCATTATATCTTTGTAGTTTTATTTTTTCGGGGAGAATGGTTCTACAACGTGCAAATACACCAACAATTCTGCATCATTTATTGACTAGCTGGTTTATATGTTTATCCTATTGGGAGTTTCCTGAACATATAATTCCTAATATTTTAAGTTCTTTCACTAATTCAATCGGTATGAATTAAAAATGGAGGGTTTCATTTATATAAAACCCTCCATTACTGAACGATATAAATAAAATGTCCATTGTTTTTGTCTCAATAATATATAAATCATTTGCTTGCGACCACAAAAATATCTAGACAATATAAAGCTTGCTTTTTTAATAGGTTATCTGCATTCACGTCACTGAGGAACAGACTGGTGTCATCGGCATACAAGTCAAAAAGGACATTTTCTAAAATCTTCACCACATAATTGATATAAATATTAATAAGCAATGGACTCAAAATACAGTGCAGTCCACTTATAACGATATTGAGAAAACCGCAAAATCCAATCGTTATAGCCGATTATCGTTATATCTGGACCGACAAAAAAAAAACACAAAGAGAAGTTACTTACGGGCGATGAGTGAATCAGGTCGTACAACGCGAGCCGAGGCAAAGAAAACCGAAGGCTTTATTAAAAGGTACGAAAATGACTATAAAATAATTTAAGCATGCTTAAAAAAGTCGGAAATTTGCGCTTGCTTGAGCTGAAGTTTGACAATTGCCGTGTGCATTGCTTCCAGTTGTTGCGCGTACGCTGGCGGCAGTCCTTTTGCGTGCACAAAACCGACCAGCGACTGGATGGAGAGCAGGGCATTTTGTGAAGACATTGGAGGCGGGGTGTTCTCGTCGCCGCCGTCGTCGTCACTACTTTCGCAGTCGCTCGATGTGATTTTTCGTCGCGATTGCTGTTCCTCGGCAATGGCCTCATCAGTAGACTCCTCGCATGAAGCGGCAGCGTTGTCCGCGTTCAAAAAGTCTCCCAAGAGAGCTCCGCCGATATTCTCCTCGGAAGCTGCTATGTGGTCCCAAAGTTCACCCACATCGGCAGGTTCGATGACGATAGCACTTAGTTCCGAAGGATGAGGCTGAACTTTTTAAATCGGGCGGCGCCTCGCGTCACCTAGCGGATCTTTCCACGCCGACCGGTTTTTGATATTTTTACTAGTTTTCATGTCGTTCGCTTCAAGTATTTTAATTTTTCTCAAATTTCCAGGCAAATTTTTCGTGATAAGCACCTTCCGGGCGGCCAGAATTCTATCGTTGTATCCGATATGTCGCCGATAATTCTATCGTTATATATGGTTTATTTTTACATAGGGGCGATGGGAGAATTGACAAATCTAAAAAATTTGATCGCTATAAGCGATATATCGTTATATCTGGTATCGTTATAAGTGGATTACACTGTACTACCTTGTTGCACACCGTACGTTATCTGTAACAGTGATGAGAAACGGCCATCGATTATTACAGATTGCCTACGTTCATTTAGGTATAAGGATAAAAGTGAAAGTGGTATATCACGTATTCCCTGTCTGCTTAGTTTGTCAATAGTATGTTATGATTGAGACAACCAAAAGCTTTACTAAAATCATTAGAAGTGCCAAGTGTCAAGTGTTTGCATTTTATATTCTGTAATAATGATATCTTTCTATAAAGGAAGTGCGGATCCGGTAGATATTTCTTTTCTAAAGCCAAACTGGGATTTGGTAATTACGATTGCTTCTGGAGAAAACTATCAAGACGACAGAAGTCCCTTTGAAAAAGCAGGCAAAACGGATATTGGTCTATAATTTGATACAACCTTTCTGTCGCCATCCTCATGCGAGGTTGCTTCGATCGCTGCATAATAAATTGTATGACCTAAAAAGCTAAGATTGATTTCAGGTAACGGAAGAATGATTCAGACTGCCTATCATTTCTAGGTTACACGTGTGCTATAATGACCTTTCAAGTTTTGTTCTTCTGGAAATACCTTTATGTGCGAGCTCTATACGTCCTAAAAAAAATCACGAATTTACTATCATATGGCTGGCCTATTTTTTTTTTTTTTTTTCACAAGGGCCATTAAACATTTATGGAGCGATTATTGTGCGAGGTGGCTATTTCAGCGCGCGGAAGACAAAAGCGTGCTCGTCCGCTATTCGTCGCGCAAGAGGACTTGCCTTGGGATTGGATAATGGCGCCTTTTGTAATCCGATTGCCGGAATATGAAGTACCCACAATCAGCGTCGTGTAATTTTTATCACGCTTTTAATAAAAAAATAAAGAGGCACATCACACTGGCTTTGAGAATTTTACGGCCATTAGAAAGCGCAAATAAATTTATCGGCATAAAATACGATTACTCTTCGATCCTATTTGGACACCACAACAGTGTTTTCATTAGGGAGATCAAATAGATCAAGATGACTAAATGTGTAAGCTCTATCGTGATTTATCGGATATATCACAGTGTTTTTTTTTATTTTTTGTTTTCTTTCGCTCTAGGAATTATAAAGCATCTACATCACCGAAAAAAAAACTGCAGAGAGCCACACTAAAAAAATGCCCGTGAGTCTGCTTTCCCGCACAACACTCGGAGAGCCAATCGCCGCAACTTACGGAGGAAGCTCAGCGAATGACGATGCCGCAACATGTGTTTAGACCAAAAAACGCACTCTGAGTTGTGACATTAAGCAATGCAAGCGTGACGTTTTGCATTGCTTAATGTCACAACTCAGACTGCGTTTTTTGGTCTAAACATATGTTTCGGCATTGTAATTCGCTGAGGTGCCTCCGTAAGTTGCGGTGATAGGCTCTCCGAGTGTTGTGCGTGAAGGTAGACGCACAAACATTTTTTTAGAGTGAAATTGTTGCAATCTACGTAGGAGCTCGGTGAATGGCTGGACTGATATTATTTTTAGACCTAATACAGTCTGCGCTGCGGTACTAGAATGACATTCCATGGTCAGTGCCACAGCGCAATGTATATTTTTTAGCCTATACATTTTTCGCCTGCTCACCATGGCTTCAGAAAATATTTATCTTGTGAAACGCAAATTCTGTCTATCATCAGCGACTTTCATTCAACCTTTTATCAGGGATCTCAGGTGGGCTGCATATTTCTATACTTTGCCAAAACGTTTGACAAGATACAAACTTTTATCGCTTTAGTTAAGCAAACTTCACGTAGACTCTAACGTGTTTAAATGGCTATTATTTCCAACGAAGCGCTCGCAATTTGTAACGTGTAATGGTTCTCACTCCTCCGCACCGCTTTCTTCCGGAGTACCTCAGAAGTTCGTTGGGTAACCCCTATTTACTAATATATATTATTGACTTCCAATCAGTGGTTTCTTGTTCAATCAAACTCTTAAATGACGACTGTGCTATTTATCATGTAATACCTAATGACTCTTACTCACAAAATTTAAAACATTACCTAAATTTCAAGCTTGACTGGAGTGAAGTCTGGTCAGTGGGGCTCAATTTTAACAAACGTAAAATAATGCGTATAACACTTCAAACCAACTTCAATCTTGTGCATAGTATTAATAACACACCCCTAGAACTTGCAGACTCATACAGGCATCTGCTCGCGATTTTAAGCGCTGACCTTTCCTGGAAACTTGACATTAACTATTTGTCTAACAACGCCTATGGAATGCTTGTCTTTTTCCAGCCTAATATTTTTTCTCGCTTGATCATCATTAAAACTATTTCTTCATAAATACTCTAGTTAAGTCTAAGCTGGTGTCTGCCGCTTCCATCTGTGACCCCTCTACCGAGTACCCCATTGATTCACTTTAAGGTGTACAGGACAGAGCTGCATGCTTCATAGCGGCCAATTGTAACCGCACTGCAAGCATAACATCAATGAAAAATACTTTGTCACTCACATGCCTCGCACATCGTCGCACAGTTTCTCGTATCTGCCTTTTCCACGAATTATATCGTCATATTCCTCTGCTCAAATCACAACTAGCAACCCCCTTCCTCCTCCCTATTTTGTTTCAGCACGCCTTAATCATCGTCACAAAAACTCCGCGTCCATTAGGCCACTTTATCGTTTATTGTGGCTATTTTTTTTCCAGAACTTCTAAAGACTGGAACCACTTAGCCGCATCCCTCACATCAATTAATGACCGCGCACGGTTTGTACATCTATTCCCAATTTCACATTCCCTGTTGTTTCAGTATTGTATACGACGTTCCTTTTGTAT